TCCGGGTCTCCCTCAGGGCAATCAGCGTGGACACGAGATGAGGCAAAGCAGCAGCAAAACACTGGAACTCCTCCTGCCTGTCCTCAAGGACGTCCGTGCTAAGAGCACACTCACCCCCGACGGACGGAGGACAGACAGACTCAGACTCAGCAACAAGACTAGCAGAGTAGTCGAGACGACAGCGAGCAGCAAAGTCGACAAGCTTAGCAACTAGGGCAGACGCAGCAGTGGACTCAAGGAAGGGGTCAGTGACAACAGTAGCCAGGAGACGCGTGACAGTAGGACTGGCAGCACGAAGAGAGTCAGACTCCGGGTCAGCAAGAACAGGAAGAGAGGACTCAGGAGGGAGACGGCAACGGGACACGCAGAGGAGCAGTGGAAGGACGCAGTGCCATCTGGTGTGTGCCTGGGACCGCAGGAGGACGCGGACGCGAAGCACGACCACTAGTGCGAGCAGCACGAACAGGCGACGCAGGACGAGACGCAGGCTCACGACGCTCAGCAAGACCTCCAAGTAGGACCAGTGTAGGGAGAAGGAGCAGGTAGGGGGGAGGCGGGCTGTAACTGTGACCGCGACTGGACAGGCTGTGGACACTCTAAGGGAGGAGGCAGGACCAGTAGAGGGCGGGAGACCAAGAACCTGCTCAAGGAGCGGAACGAAGTACGGCCTACACAAGACTATAGCATATAAGTTTGACATGAAGAACGCCTTCCTGCAGAGCAAGCTCGACCGGGGTGTTGTACACGTCCCAGCTGGACTACTTCAACGACGGAACCCGGCCGGGTCTGCAAGCTGCTGAAGAGCCTGTACGGGCTGAAGCAGTCGCCGCTGTTGTGGTACTTGGCGCTCAACGACGTGTTGGTCGGCGCCGGGTGGAAGAAGAGCCAGGTCGACGAGGGCTCTGTACTTCAAGGTCGGCAAGGGCAAAAGTGGCCTGCTGGGTGCTGGTCTACGTCGACGACCTGCTTGCCGCCAGCAGTAGCATCGAGATGCTGAAGGAGCTGAAGGAGCCGCTGGAGTCCGCCTTCGAGCTGAGTGAGATCTCGCCGGTGCAGAAGTACATCGGACTGGAGATCGTCCGCGACAGGTCGGCGGGGAAGCTGTGGCTGCACCAGCAGGGCTACGCCGACAAGCTGCGTAGGCGCTTCATCAACGAGGAGCAGACCGGGCGCACCCCGAAGACGCCGGTCTCGGTCGACGCCTACGGCGAGCTCACTTTCGACGGCGAGGAGGCACAAGAGCGACAGGAGGAGGAGTACCGGCAGAAGGTCGGCTCGCTGCAGTTCGCCGGCGACGACGACGAGGCCGGACATCGCCTTCGCTTGCAGCAAGCTGGGGAGCGGCCTCACGGTGAGGAGCGACCTGCACTGGCGCGAGGTCGACCGCTGCCTCGCCTACCTCGCCAACACGCGTGACACCGCCCTGGAGTTCGGCGGTGGACCTGAGTCACTGGAGCTGGTCGACTACGTGGACGCCGACGACGCCGGTGACAAGCAGAACAGGACGAGCACGGGCGGCTACGTGTTCGTCTACGGAGGGGCTGCAGTCTCCTGGTCGAGCCAGCGCATCAAGTGTGCGACGTTGTCGTCGACCGAGTCGGAGTACGTGGCGGCCACCGAAGCCGGGCAAGGAGGGACGCCGACTTCGTTTCCTCCTTGCAGAGTTCCGGCAGCTGGATGCCGGGAAGCCGACCGTCCTTCGGGTGGACAACAAGTCGGCCATCACAGTCGCCGAGGGCATGGGGTTGACAGGCAACCTCAAGCACATGGAGCGGCGACAGGCCTGGCTGCAGCACATGGTGAGGCGCGGGAAAGTTCTCACTGAGGTACATCCCGACCACCGAGCAGCCGGCCGACTTCCTGACGAAGGCGCTGCACTATCCGTCCTTCAACCGGTGCTCTGTTGCCATCGGCCAGGTGCGCCTGGCCGACGTGGGCGACGAAGTTGACGAAGCGCAGCAGTAGGTGCCATGCCCTCTTGCATGGCTGGTGCGGTGGACGACGTGCTGTGTATTGGGTGCACGTCGACGAGCTATTCTCCGAGGAGTACGGCCGTGTGGGCTGGGGGCCCAAGCGTGAACGCGGCAGGGGAGTGTCAACGGGAGTTGTGTATTGGCCCCGTCCTCGCTTGGGCGGAGCCGACTTCGTGGTCGGGTGCGAGGGGAGTAGCCGACTTGCAGCAGTGGGCGAGCTGGTTGACGAGAAGGTTGACCTGCACGGGAGCCACTGTACGGGCGCCAACTTCAGGGTGGCGCCAACTTCAGGGAGGTCGACTTGGGAAGTCGACCTACGGAGGACGTCAACTTGGTGACGTCAACTTGGGGCAGCCGACTTGGGTGGTCGGCTGACAGAACCTGCTAGTCGACCTGGTGGTTGGTCGACCAGACGTGCTGGTCGACTTGCTGGTGGTCGACCTGACCTGGTGGTCGACGAAGGAGGGGCCGACGTCGACCTCGACTCAGGACGCTGAGCAGCTGGGCGTCGAGTAGCAGGGCGTCAACTTGGTGACGCCGACTTCAGGTAGCCGACTTGGGAGGTCGGCTGACAACTGCGCTGGTCGACGAGGAGCTGGTCGACCAGGAGTGCTGGTCGACGTGACGCTGGTCGACCAGAAGTGACGTCGACCTGGAGCTGGTCGACCAGGGGCGTGGTCGACCTGGTGAGGTCGAGTTGGGGGTGGGCGTCGACTTTGGAGGTCGACGGGCACATACAGGAGCAGCTGGTCGACGTGGTTGCCCGATCGACCAGGTTACCTGGGTGACGAGGTTATGCGGAGGAGTGCGACGGTCGCCCAGGCAAAAGTTGGCGAGTCCGACCTCGGTGGTGGTATCCCGAGGTCGACGTGGCTGATCAGATGCAGTCGTCAGCAACCAGGTTGACTGGGTGTGTGCGCTGTGCAGGTGACAAAGCTCCGCACGCCAATCATCTGCGAGCACCTGCGAAGCTGGTGCGATACTTTTCTGTGGGAGCAATGCTGGCACGCCGTCAACCTGCGACGTTGGCACGCCGTCGACCTTGCACTGCTGGAGCGCGGTCGACCAAGTCGTGCTGGAACGCGGTCGACCATGCTGCGCTGGCAGTCGACCGACCTAAATGCTAGCTCTGATGTAGTCTTGCCATGCCAACTTCATTGTACCATTGTTGTCAACTTTCTCTAGTGAAACTCTTGCCAACTTGCCCCGGGAACTAGCAAGCAGTGTGTGCACTAGGAAAACGACTAAGGACCAACGAACGCAGAGATCACACGAGCACCCGCGCCTAGCCCGTAGTCTAGTTCCCGTTGTAGTAGTTATCTCCGCAGTAACAGCGTACAAACAAGAGATACGCCGCACAAAATTTACAGCTTAGTAGCTGCGCATATGATATAACTTTTATACTGAATTTTTCTTTTTAATCCCTTTTAGATTGTAATCCTCACTCAATGCAATTGTGTAGTAATATGATTCCAATCATGTATCTTGACTTGCAAAAGATGCCATAGGATGTCACGCTGTAGAACTTGTCTACAGCTGATTGTCATTAAAGCGGTTTGCTCCCAGCGGGGTTCTCTGTATTTTCCTTCAACTTTAGGCCCACATTGCCACGCAATCCCAGCATTCAACCCCGCAACCTCTCTTCGCCACATCAACAGAAGTGGTTACTGGTTACTGACACGTCGGCTTCGAGGTGGTCAGGTGCTGCCAGAATTGCGCCTCTCATCGCACGCGAGGCTGACGTGTAAGATCAGTAAAGTGCTCTGCGCGGAGGCATCCAATGACAGGACGGCCTCCGTCGCCCTCGCTTTCGTCCCGTCATGAAGTTGAATGTGCTGTGCGCATCTGGGGGAGATTCTGCGCCGCAGGGTTCTTCCTCTTCTCCAACCTCCCCTCGCTACAATCACTGCAGCAGTCCACGTTTGCTGCAGCACAACCATTTTCTATGGGGTGGAGCCTTGGGAACTTCAGAACGCCATTCCAGCTTCACATTCAGGTCGTGCTCTGATCAAGCCTGACATTTTGGTTCCTATCGAGCAAGTGCTTCATCCTGCGTTACGCTCGTAGCGTAAGAATATTCCGCAAATCTCCGCAGATTTTAACGAGCGTTTTTGTTCCATTTTCCCCTCTGAACAACCTTTTTCCACGATTTCCAGAAGAAAATGTCATCAACAGTCCTTTCACTTACCAGACCAGCAGCTGCACATGGCCATCGCCTCTTTCCGCCGCGTGACTCAAGTTTCCGAAATTCGTGTTCCAATTCCGTAACGTCCGCCGGTTTCTCCGTCTCGTGTGCCACTATCCGCATCCCCGCTTCGCCGCATCTCGGCTCCAGCAAATCCCAAGGTCGGTACGTCACAGTCGTAGGAGCTAAAAGTACTCTTTTGCACTCGCAGCGTCGGTACCGGCTTCGTGCGCTGCCTGGAGGCTCTGAGTCGACAACGACTGTAGCGGAGGAGAAGGAGAATGGCGTCGGGATTAGAGCTTCCGAAGACCAGCAACTACCGAGCACTGACTCTGACCAATCAGGCTCTCCTAAAGCAGATGCTTCTCCATCTCCTCCGCCTCCTCCTTCCAGTATGAAGAGTCTCGACGCGTACTTCGAAAAGCTGAATGGTTCTTCCAGCAGCAACAACGCAGAGAAACAAACACCAGAGCAACAAGCCGCGGAAGCCGTGGCTGCACCTGCAGCTGCTGCAGCATCAGCATCAGCATCAGCAGAGCCTGCTGCATCGCCTGCCGCCAGCGCGACTTCGACAGCACCTTCCGCCGCCGCTGATGCGAGCAGTTCGGCGGAGAAGAAAAGAGTAACCAAGGACTTCCAAGCGCTGAGCTCACTGAATTCGTACTTCGACAAACTCAACGCTGGCAAAGGTACGCTCTTTCTTTCTCTACTTACCGTCTTTCGCTTTCTAGTCTTTCGTGCGTTACTGTTGAGTGACATCGTGGGCCGTTTTGATTGACTTTTTAGAAAACGCAATCACGCATCCCTCCGCTACCTCATCCACCACCCGCCTCATTCCGCAGAGAAAAAGGCGGACGCCGATTCCAGCGCAGCACCAGCCGCCTCTCAGGCATCCGCAGCCACCGCGTCTTCAACAGCGCAGGCTGACGTCAGCAGCAAGGGGGCGGAGGCGGAGAAAATGGAGAAGGCGGAGAAGGTGGGGAAGGCGGAGGAGAGCGGCGGAAGCAAGGAGCTGAAGGCGGAGGAGGTGGAGGAGCTTATCAGGCGGATTGTGGAGGACGTGGAGAAGAAGAAGGGCAGTGCCGCGCTTGACTGTGAGTCGCTGCTCGTGATGCTTCCCTGGTCATTATGCTGCGCCTCTCGTTATGCGTTACTGCACCTAGTGTCAGATTCATTAACATCAGATGGCAAAACAAGGAATACAGACACGAGTGAGAAAAAAAAAAAACAATAACAGACTGGATAGAACATGGCAAAGAGCCGTCTTTTCGCCTCGAGTGCACTGACCTGTCTGCTGTACGATTGGGCTGTTCGTGTGTCGGGATCTGGATGATTTGATTATTTGTTCACGCCTCTGTTCGTCACTCGCACCTGTATTCCTTCCTTCTCGTTGCCTAAGGCGTTATTTCCTCTCCTGTGCTCTGCACCGCCTTGTACCTCTGTGTTTGCCGATCAGCCAAGGTGTCGGACCTGACTCTGGAGGCCATCATGGGTCCGCGCAACCTGCTGGACGACTGGATTTTCCGCCAAAGCGGCCGTTTCTGCTCCCCACCGCCGTGTGAGTTGTTTTCAATTGTTCTCTAAGCGCCTCAAAGATGAACCTTCCTGTCATGGAGCCCCGCCGCCTGCTGGATGCCTGGATTTCCTCCAAGCTGCCGTTTCTGCTCCCACCGCCGCGTGAGTATGCCTCGTGAGGTGCGAGTGTCTGTGTGAGGGTCGTTTGGTGAGCGAGATTACAGTGGCATGAGAGTGAGTGAGAGGGACGTGGCGTGTGCGGGAGGGAGTGCACAGGGTCGTGTGAGTAAGTGTGCGGAATCATGTACATCTCTGTTGGGCGTCGTTCGAGGGATTGAGCCTTATGCTGGGTACTCGCTCTAGTGAGTGAGTGAGTGGCGAATGAGTGTTGACGAGTGACACTCGCGTATGGTCTCATTCCTACCTTCTGCCTTCCCTCAAATGGTCCTTCCCTCACTCTCGTTCACCTCCCCCTTTTCCCCCTTTCCCTCAGCTCCCCTCCCCCCCCCATTCCCTCTTTCAACGCTATCAGCTACACACTAGTAGCGGTCAACATTGCGGTTTTCCTCTTTGAGCTCGCCAGCCCTGTTCCTACCCTTCCGCCTTCCCTCACTCTCGTCCTCTTTCCCCCTTTTCCGCCCCTCCCCCATCCTTGCCCTGTCACCTTCATCAGCTACACGCTAGTGGCAATCAACATTGCGGTGTTCCTGTTTGAGCTCGCCAGTCCCGAGGCGGTGCCAGGAGTGATCACCACGTCGCTGCCAGCGCTGCTCGCTGCCAAGGTCAACCCACTCATCGAGGCCGGCGAGTGGGTGGCGCCTCCTCACGCCCTCCCTCCTCGTACGTCCACGTGCCCACCCGCTGCCCGCCACCTTCCCGTCCTTCCTGCTTCCAGCTTCTGATGGCGTATTGTCCTGCTTTCTCCTCTTGCCATTCTGAACAATCAGCTTCCAGTTCTTTCTATCCTCGATCGTTACCTGACCCAGCTTCTACCCGCACCCACCTCCTCCCTCCCACTTCCCAAAACCCCCGTTCCCAGCATGCTAGCATCATCCATCTTTCGGTGGTCACGTTTTTTCTTGCCTGCCATAGGCAGTGTCACAGTGTGTGTGCTGTACTCTGGTCTGGACTGGACCCATCACCATCATCATCCATCACCAGCTTACCTTACTTCTTCCCCCCCCCACATACACCTCACCTCCCCTGCTCCACCCTTCCCCCACCCACTGACAGCACGCGGGAATCATCCACCTGTCAGTGGGCACGTTCTTCCTGCTGGGCATCGCAGGGTGCGTTGTACTGTTAACCTCACTTCCCGCCTCCCACCCTCCCCCCACCAACCCACTGACAGCACGCGGGAATCATCCACCTGTCAGTGGGCACGTTCTTCCTGCTGGGCATCGGCAGTGGTGCGTTGTACTGTGAACCTCACTTCCCCGCTCCACCCTCCCCCCCCACCCACTGACAGCACGCGGGAATCATCCACCTGTCAGTGGGCACGTTCTTCCTGCTGGGCCTGGGCAGTGTGCTGGAGTTCGCCATCGGCCCCCTGGGTCTGCTCGCAGTCTACTTCTCCTCTGGCCTCGCAGGCAACATCACCTCGTTTCTGCAGACGCCTGACGTTACCGTTGGCGGCACGGTGAGGGTCCCATTCCCTCTCTTTTCTCCCTCCTTAGGCGTTCCCCCTGCTCCTCCTGTCCTCCTTACCCACTGCAACTCACCTCTTGTATTGCGGCGTCTCATTGTTCACCTCCATGGCTTCATGGTTACAGAACAGCCCCACACTCGCACAGACTTCTCCCTCGCACTCCCAATGCCCGATCACTCTCGGTTTGCGTCAACCCATGGCAATGCATCCTGCAGGGCCCAGTGTACGGGGTGGCAGCAGCGTATGCGGCGTTTCTGATAAAGAACCGGGAGGTGATCGGCACGGAGACAGCAGACAGCAATGTGCGCGAGTCGCTCATCATCGCTGCGCTCTTTGCCCTCTTTGCCAAACCCCCTGCCCATCGACCCCTCGTGAGTGCCACTCCCGGCCGACTTGCTCGTAGAATGATAAGGAATTGGTATCATCTCCTTCTGTCAGGGAGGCGTTGGCAAGCGACAGCCTACACGACACGTGGCTCCGTGTAACATGTTTCTCTTTGGAAGAAAAGTAGTCCACGCCCGTCGCTCACACTCAGCTGAAGGGAAAGGATGGGCTCGCTAGAGGGGGCTTGTCTTACAGGTTAGCACTGCACATGCAATGCTGTCGTTGTTCCCCACTCAGACAGATGGTTGTGCCTGTCGCTTCATAGTATTGGCATGTCTGTCGACATGGCACCTGTGGTGACCTCCAGCACTTAGTGTTCCCCCTTTGCATCCCACCCACTGCTTGGGGCAAACTTCTCACACATGCTTGCTTGCTTGTTCTGTGTACAAGCTCTTCATTTCAGTTTTCCCCATGGCCCTATCTCCCCCCACAGCACCCATGCTGGAGCGGCACTAGCGGGCTTTCTTTTCGGCAGCATTGCAGCTCCAACCATGCGCAAAGTGAAGATATCCAATGAGGAGGCAGCCAAGCGGCAGCAAGGGCTTCTCAACTCTCTGCTCAGCCAGAAAACAAACGAGGAGTCGTATGAGTTGGTGGTGGAACCAGCTGACTCCAAGAAGCTGGCTGCTGCTTTTGGGGCAACAATGGCACTTTCACTGGCGCTGTTCCAGTTGTCGTTAGGGATTCCGTTGGATGTTGATTTGTTGCAATCATTGCCCTCTGCAGACGGTGATGTCTGGTTGTGAGATTATGCATGGATCTGTATGAATATAGGAGTTTGGTAATGTTGTGCAAAATGCATTGTTACTGTATGATGTTCAAAAGTTCCAGTGCTTACTCATTTCTGAGCTCCTAACCATTCCATGTATGTATTATGTTGGAAACACTGATTGTACAACTACATTGTTATTTCGCAACCCGAGTGCCCCAATAGAATGGTCACTGCGGTTGCTTGCGTGTGACACAAGCACTTCACCCAGCAGGATCTGCGACGTGGCTCCCTTTGATTCCACGAAGCGTCACGTGGAAATCGTGGCTAATAGGCCCGTCTTGTTTTGTTTCCCACCTCTTAGCGGGAAACACGCTGTTTTTGACGAATGGTGTCGCGAGAATCCCTGAAGCCTGGGTGGGCAGGTATCCCTTCCTTCCAGCCCCTTCATCCCATCATCCGTCTAGGTCTTGCTACTCCATCGCAATGGAATATGTTCCACATGACCAGATACAGGCGGTGCTTTTCCTGTATCTGCCCCATGAAAATGGATCTTTGGTTGGAAATGCCCAAAATGTGCCTTTTTCATTTCCTTGGTTCAGACCGTGCCAGGTGCCCGCAATGTTGGGTTGCGCTCGAACTTGTCCGAACCGGATTTTTATTGTTGCTTCGGGCAGTGCTGGCTGGCGAACTGACCACGGCTGAACTGACGTTTCTGGCAATTTCAGTTCGGGCGGAGCTGTCGGTCCCGAAGCAACTTCAGGCTCGGTAGGGTTTGGTTTCTGCTTGCTTGGCCTCTGCCCCACCTCCGAGCATCCGTTCCCTCACCACCACCAAACTCTGATTTCATCTCCCTAGGCTCATTGCTCATATGCTGCTGGCCTTGACAGTTGGTCCAACGTCCGCTACTCACTCTTCCCGTTCCATTTTGGATTCTCCATCTCTCGATCTGGCACAAGGACTGCTTTACTCTTGTTCTGCTCCGTCTTCTAGTTTTCTGTACTTGTCATTGCTGCGTTTGTGCGGCATGGCGACAGTGACTTCCCAGCAGCTTTGCAGTTTAACAGGTATAAGTTTCAGCTGCAACGTCCGCTCGAACGAGTCTGCGTCGTTCAGCAGAGCTCTATTTCCTGCTAGGCTCCCTAAAAGCAATGCCAGGTTGAGCTCGTCATGGAACGAGGCGGAGCGACGGAGGCACGTGCCTGTACAGTCAGCCATGGAAGCCATGGAAGAAGCGACTTTCGAGCCTCGTTTCAAGCCTTGGGAGGCTCAGAGCTTCTTGAAGGAGAATTTTCCTCAGATGCCACAGGTTCCTTCGCGAACTCTTGTACCTAGCGACAGGGCTGACGATTTGTCGCTGCACAACCCGTTGAGGAGACTGGAGCGCATGGGATGCGGATGGCTGGCCGTGCTGTTGGAGTGGGAGGGGGTGGTGATTGAAGACGATTCTGTTTTTGAACGGCAGGCGTGGATAGCTCTTGCGGAAGAGGAAGGCCGCGCCCAGCCTCCCGTTTGGATCCTTAAGCGGGCAGAAGGCATGAAAAACGAGCAGGTTATTCGCGAAGTGCTTTGCTGGTCGCGCGACTTCATGACTGTACGGAGATTGTCGCAGAGAAAAGAAGAGCTGTATGAGCAGTTTCAGGGAGGTTGCTACAGGCTTCTCCCCGGCTCCAGAGAATTTCTGGACACCCTAAAGCGGTGCAAGATCCCGGTGGCAATTGTGTCGACTCGTCCGGCGAGATACTTGGAGCGAGCGGTTGAGGCTGTGGGCATGGAGGGCTTCTTCGATGCTGTCATTTCCGCGGATGACGTGCAGAGAGGAAAGCCGGATCCCGAGATGTACCAGTGGGTCTTAGCAACTTCGTTAACCAGTGTTGCTGGTAGTTCTTTGTTGTCAATCTCGGATCATGGTGGGCAACGTTCTTGACAACGTTTTGGACAATTTTTCATGTTTTCGTGTCACAACCTTTTCTGTTGCAGTATGCGGCACAGCGACTGCAATTCATTCCCGAGCGTTGCATCGTCATTGGTAGCTCCAACTCCACCATAGAGGCGGCTCACGATGCTTACATGAAGGTGGGCACCCTTTCTCTGTCGATTTCCTTCCGCATCTGTTTCCTTCTGTACTATGTTACTGACACATCCTTGTGTGTTCTCCTCAGGTTGTCACCGTTGCAGGAAGGCACCCAGTGTATGAGTTGGGTGCTGCGGATCTAGTGGTTCGCAAGTTGGACATGCTATCCGTGGTCGATCTCAAGAACCTGGCGGATCTAGACTCGCCGGAATTCACGCCACCGCCTGAGCTAGAGCCGGAATTAGAGCCGGAAACCAAGAGAACTGGTGTCGGCACCTTGTGAAGTTCAAACGGCCTAAAATTCGTTTGTTCATGTCGTACATTAGTTATCATGTCATGCTATTGGCTGGATGCTCCAGCTTGAATTGTAA